GGGGGGGGGTTTCTATCGTTCCAGCAGTTATTAACAACAACCTGAACCGAGGGCTGCCCAGTTTGTCACAGGCCCAGTTTGTTACAATTTCGTTTAAGTATTTGAGTATTGATGACAGTCGTAATACAGCACTTTATTAACAATGTAGTTGCAACTTATTTTTTTTAATTCTCCACCTTCAAATTAGTGGTGTAGAGATAGTCCCTCTAAATTATGTCATTCCCGCTTGTGTTGTTCAATATTTCTTCTTTTTTGTATGCAAATCAAAGCAAATTACTCTATAAAATTTCAACAATGAATATTATTCTTTCGCTATAAACAAATCTATAGTTCATTTACTCTTTCTGAGAGATTCAGTGATAACTTCCATCATGCAGGGCACAGTCGAGGCCTGTGACAAACTGTCATGCTTCCTCTGAGCCTGATACACTATCCACCACCGGTGTTGCTCCTGGCAAGGACAGGGCACCCCGAGGACCTTTGCCGCGCTTTCTACTCGACCGGGCTCCAGGGTTGCACCTCCCTAGGTCTGACTTGGATAGAGACCAGGAGCTACATTTGTGATCAGCTGCAATGTTCAAGCAGTTGTTCTTTTGTGCTCAGATGGTGGGACAGTTGCAGCTACATCTATCGGTATACAGATAAATATGTAAGGTGTCAAAAAGCTGTGACTGTGCAACACTTGGACTAAGCTGACCTCTGGTGAGCTTTATTGGTTTGTAGACTTTATTTTAGCTAGAAGAGAAATTGTTTTGTGCATGAACATGTTATAAGGAATACTGACGTTACGACATTTGGCGATCACTTTTTAACACTTATTATCTGCTCATTCATCTTGTTTTGGTGAAATCTGATTTCACCAGGATGCCACACATGTATACAGGTACACGTCAATTAGGGACTCGAAATAGAAAATGATAACCTTGCATATTATGATGATATCAGGTCACTTAAATCGCCTATCAGAATGCATATGCCCATAACATTAGTATATTTGAGTGTACACAATTTGAGAAAACGTCCTTCCTTACATTGTATTTAAAGGTATAATGAGATCCTGCTCTGGTCTCCTGTTTATCTTTCAAAACACAACAATTAGCTAAGATTAATAACGACGTTTTGTTTATTATTACCTAATTACTCTAACTCGTGGTCAGGATTTTGAAAAATATTTTATCCATAATTAGTGTAGCCGGTATATTTCTTCCAGGTGTTTTTCGAAAGAAATGTACAGACTCAATACACATATTACGTCGGTGCCCATGTGAATCCCAAGACAAGAACATTCCAAAATATAAAAAAACAGCAAAACCAAACGTTTCAAGTAAAACCCGAAGCCAATTCAAAAAATGGTTGTTGTTTTAATAATAACAAAATGTGATCTTTAAAAGGTAAAAATAAAACGACCACCAACTAATTCCCGTGGACAGTGCAATGTCGTAAAATACATAATATCACTTTTTGCACACACAAAAAAAGAAAACCAAACAAAATAAAATAATATAATTTCAATAGTTTCATTTAAAAGTTCAAAATCTTTTTTCATGGAACGATGTTATCTGATTATTTTAAAAAATAATAATTTTAAAAAGAAAGCTAAATATTTTTACTGTCATTTGACGCTAGAAACTAAGTAGGTCAATATTTACAAAATGGTAACATCATTATTCAAAGATATCGAATTATGATTAAATGGTACAGGCTTAGAAAAAGGAAGCGTGCCTCATTCATACAGATACAAAATCTATGGGGAGCGGAGGACACTTTCGATCTCTCAAAACATTTACTTAATCACAGTATGAGGTTATGGGGGCAGGTAATTACTCTCACCAAAATTGAATATTCAGTCGTGTTAGTTAAAAAAAAGATAAAATACAATCACTGTATATGCATGGAGAAACGTAATAGGAATTTTAAACTGTGGCTTTGATGCCTTTGTTAGCTTGTGCTAAATCATTAATTACCGTGTGTGAAAGGATGCAGATGGAAACGCCAGCATTCAAAAACACTCCCAATGCCAATAGACTTAAAAGTGAAAAAAAATAAAGAGTAATCCGTTTTTTGGATACTGAGTAGTTTTAGAAATTCTATTTAAAAGATCAAGATTTTTAAAGATATTTCTTAATCCAAGACACTTTATTGGGCTCATCGGAGAGCAATAGCCTTACTGATCATCGACTTTATAAGATCGACTTTATAAGATCGACTTTATAAGATCGACTTTATAAGATCGACTTTATAAGATCAAGCTAAAAGAGAAACAGTTCGATGTCTTTTACTGAAAAATGTGGCATCCTTTTTGGTCACAAAATATAAAATGAATGTACAAAGACATAACAGGTGCATGATAAAGGCAGAGAATAGATATTTAAAATTTAAAAACAAAACGGTCTCCTGTTCTGTTGACTTTATCAATTAAGCATTGTCTCCTACAAAGGTGCTGGAAACATTTTCATTTTCAAAAATTCCTGTTTAGTCACCGGATGGTTACAAGCGACTGGGTTACTTAAAAGCAGTTGAGTATCTGTCCAGATAACGAGCGTATTTTTTTTTTCGAGAAATGTTTGAAATGCAATGGTTTCAACAGTAACAAAACATTTCCTTGCAAAATTAGGATATCAAACTTTCCTCCATACCTTGCCACTTATTACTTTCAAGCAAATGAAATTAAACAACAACTCATTCATCAATTCGTGCAATATTTGAAATACATAATCAACATTATGAAAAAAATGCTTATTCAGCAGGTATCCAGCATCCCGTGTGGATCTCGTCTGTCTTGGCTAATGATCCACGTTGCAATGCTGGAAGTAGTTCCATGGCGTGTCTTCTCTTGAAATCATGCAACAACCTGCAGGGATCTCAAAAGACTTCCGCGCCTCTGAAGTTCCACTTGTGGGGGGAGCTAAGCTGTCGTCCAGTCATTCAGCAACAGCTTGCGGCAACAACTGGAGTCCAGTAAAGACCTCAAGTTTTTCCCCAGGGGAATATCTTGGCCAAGGAGAAATTGCGCAAAAACTGTCTGTGTGTTGCATCGTTTTTGAACTTCACTTTAGGTTTAGTTTCTACACTTCAAGCGTTTACAGAATTGTTTAAAAATTGAACGTTGGGTAGAAGTGATAGAACCAGTAATACAGAAGGAAAAAAAAGTTTTAGAAAAAAAACGTGAATAAATTGTATTTGTTTTAAAACCAGGTGGTGTTGAATTGCCATTGTTTTCCACACGTGGAGCGAATCAATGTAGGATTCATCCGTGTAGGTGATGGGGTGAGGGGAAAAAAGATTAAAACAAGTTTCAGTATGCCTTGCTGATAATTAGTACATTACATCTATCACAAAACCTAATAAATAAGTGATAGAGTTTTGGTTGAAGATTGAAAAGGCAAAGTATAAAATTTACTTGAAATAAAAAGCCAAACCAAATAATGTTGAAACTTGATACTTTCTAGAAAGGACAACTTTTTAAAAAATAGGCTTGCATGTTATCTTACTTATATTGAAGCATGAATATGTCTATATTGTCGCAAATGTATAGAAATGAGCTTTGACCTTTTGTACCTGAAGGGTATTTAAAAAACTCCTCAATATGCGAATGTATCTATCATTTCACATTTTCGTTAAATACAAAGTAACGAAATTAATAACCCATGCACCGGGAAAGTGTGTAGTCAGAGAAACAGAGCCATAGGTGGTATAATATTTTGAAAAATGAGAAATGCAGGTGGCATACTATAAATAATTATATTTATGGTATCGTGGTGGAAAGATGGAAGGAAAATCAAAATTAGGTGAAAAAGATTAAACGGCATGTATTATACAAACTCACCAACACATTCAGAAGCACTTCTAGAAGAATACAGGGCTCAGAATTGTATGTGGGAAGAGGAGTCGCGGAAAAATAGGTGATGGAAGTTTTAAGATGCAAGTAAAGCCAAGCGGGAATGATTTGGAATTGATTACTCCTCTTGAAGGTAAAGCAAAGGGAAAATGCAAAGCACACAAGTTTTCCTACCTTACAGAGGATGTGCGCCTAGAAACACTGCAATAAACAGACAACCCAACAAACTAGCACGTTGTTAATACTGTTACCAATTAATATAAACTAGGTCATAGTATGCATGTAGATTTGTTAAGAATAAAGCAATTTCTAAAAAGCTTAGAGTTAGCAATTAACTATTAGCATTAGACTATATTAAAAAATCAAAGAAAGAAAGAAAGAAAATGAGAAGAAATAGAAAATAAAAACTGAACAGTGTGCATGAGCAAATAATCTACAGTCCAATATGCACCACTTTTGCACACTAAGTAAGTGAAAGTACCATGGCAAACAGAAGGTCTATCTACAGAAATTATTATTGCTGTACCCTGGTGTTCCCAACACATTTGTAATCACTGTACAAACCCATGACCCTGAAAATCTTTATTTTGTTAGAGCGGAGAGAAATTGACGCCGCCTCTTTTGGCTGAGGTAATCCAACTTTAACATAAAAGAGAAGAAAAACGAAAAAAAAAACGACAAAACAAACAAAAACCGAATAAAATATTGCTATTCGTTATAGTGGCTACAGATTGGGTATTTTGTTAAAGTAATCTAATACACACAACGATGAAGCTATGTCTTGAGACATTCTATTGTGAGTGGAAGATATTTATAAAATATCGCGGGCCTGTGATACTCGAGGTCAAGTTTCTCATATACGGCCTTGCGCGGAAAAAATATAAATTACGCAAATTGATGAATGTTCATAAAACAAATCTCCAATGTAAAACAGCGTATCTGGCATACATGAGGTAGGATATGTAGGCTATTTAAGCAAACTATGCAACATCATATTATCATTATTATTATGAATCAATACACGCGAATAAATTAAACGTAGTGTAAGTTTTAAATTACGGCAATCAAATTTTTGTCAAAATAGAAGCTTCAGCTCACTGGGTATTTTGAATAGTGCCATTGAGCAAGAGAGAAATCCCTTCTTTGGTATCGGACGGCCTAAAACTGCGTTTATAAATCATCTTGACTGTCCCTCTTTTTAGATAACACTTTTAACAATAGATGGGTGGACACTTCATTCCAATGAACGATTACGTTTCCCCAGACACTGATTATACAATTGCAATGGCATATTATTATTTTGCTCAGGCAGATTTCATTTTTATTCGGTAAAGGGCCGTTCATTGAGAGACTGGGACCGCTAGTTTTGTCCCTAAGTGTTTGTGAGCGATATAATTTTCGATAAAAAATCAAAAGATCCATTACTTAAAGACTTGATAAAATCAAAACGTAAAAAAGGGCAGTGGTTTTTCCATCTCATTTAGAGTAAAAGACAGCTTTTAGATTCGGTGGGCGCCATTGTTTTTCAAAGAAGAAAGGAATATGGGATATAACAAACAAACTGGAAAAAGTCACTCTAATAAGAGTTTACATTTTAAATAATAATAATAATAAAAATAAAATAATAACTTTAGAGAGGAAAAAAGCATCTACACACTATGCCGTAGCAAAGGAGAATGTCAATATTAGAAGACGAAGTCCTCCAGGTTGATGAAAAAGTAAGAAAACACTACTGAAAATATCCCGCATCCCTACAATTGCTCAGAAAGAAAGCCGCTCCGAAATTCAATCGATCCTCACACATAGCAAATACATTTTGACAGCAAGTGAACAGTCCATATTCAATGTTTTTGGATAATCAAAAAACATCCGACACAATTTTAAAAAAAAATCTGTCTACGACATCATACATGTATTGTTTCAGTCAAAATCTGCTTACAATCTTTGACACATTACTGAAGCCATGGAAAAGAACTATGAGGTATGAATTTTATATTCGGTGTGAGGTGATCATACAACACTCATTCGAACAGATGGTACAATGAGCTGACTAAAACCGATAAATGATAAGGCTTTTTTTTTATCTATGGCGTGGTGGTTAGGAAGCAGTTAGGTATTATTATTATATATAAAAACGTGGATTTAATGTATTTGATGGGAATGAATAAGCACCATAGGTCTTTATCATAATATAAGATGTTGCATATTATCCACTATATCACATTGTTAATATCGTCCAACAATGCGATACTGCCTTTAGGTGTAAAGGAATTGGCATGCTTAAAAAGCATAGCAAGACTATAAAAATAATCAAAAGATTATGCTGAACCGGATTGCACATTGATATTAGTTGGACTAATCACGGGTACAGAACTACTGTCTCACGAGACGATCAAGTGTTATTAACACACAAAAATAATATTACCATCAATATTATTTTTATCACATTGGCATTCAAGCAAACACATCATACTATGTAATAATAATTATTATTAATAAATAGCATTTGTATAGTGGGAACTCCCGATCAAAAGCAAGCTCTATGCGCTTTACATACTACGAGATATTATTATCCCAGTAGATCTCATAGCATTCTGAAAAAATCTCGAATTCTTGGAAAGCATGCAGAGCAAGGTGTCATTTTACAGGCGCTGAAACACTAACATCCTGACAAGATATTTCACTGGCTATGGCCGGGTACCCATTCACATCTGGGTGAAGTGAGAACAATTCGTGTAAAGTGCCTTTCCCAAGTACATAACGTTAAGCCTGAGGTTCGAACCCCCGAACCTGCAATCTCAGGATTACCAGTCCGGTTGCCTTACCACAGGACCGACAACGTAGAAAGAACAATACAGCCATCTACATGAATCGAACAATAAAAGTAAACTTGAGAACTCCATTCGGACATTATTCGACGTACAATGCACATCATGGGTCTCAATTCTCTTTGGGAGTAACATTTTTGAATGTCTGACCTCACGTGCAAAAAACATTTTTCACTTACTCTCGTATATTACGAATAGGGTAAAAAAAAAAAGGGGGGGGGGGGGGGCGGGGGCGGGATTACATTAAAGTTTGCAAATAAAATCTGATCACATCAAGCATGAGAACAGAGTATCGTCAAGTAAGAGTTTTGTGTCTCATCCCACGTAGAGGAAGCACAATTTTTATAGGTTTTGTTTCTGTCTATTTGTTCAACTGACCATCTTCAACACTATCACTTCTGAATTTTGTGGGGGGGCTTTCTTATTCTCACATTGTTTTTTCCCCCGGACATTAAAAAAACGTACAGAGCGCATCTCAAATACGAATCTTCGTAGCAAATGAGTTAAGTAGTTAAATGTAAGAACTGGAATACCATTTATGCTCACAGAAGTATATATATCTTGGTTAACAGCATCACAGACGAGTAATTAATATATCACAGCACAATTGAGAAACGTTTAGCAGCGATAATGATAGAAATAACAATAATGAAAATAATAATAGTAGTAAGGAAAATATATTTAAAAGCGGAAATAATCGTAACAACAACGGATATTATGACAAAAATATAAATAATAATAATGCTGATAATAATAATGAAAAAATGATAATAACAA